AAGAAAAAAAATAATGAATAAAAAGGAAAACAATCAAAAAAAAAATTGAACAAAAAAGGAAAAGAATACAAAAAAAATGATCAAAAAAGGAAAACAATAAACAAAATATAATGTTAAAAGGAAAAGAATAAAAAAAAAATAAAATTTTAAAAGCGAAAGAATAAAAAAGGAAAAGATTAAAAAAAATAATGTGGACTAAAAAAGGAAAAGAATAAACAAAAAATAAATGTTAAAAGGAAAAGAAAGAAAACAAAAAAAAAAAAGAATTAAAAAAGCGAAAAAATAAAAAAATAATATAATGCTAAAAGGAAAAGAATAATATTGACTAAAAAAGGAAAAGAGGAAAAAAAAAAATGTTAAAAGAAAAAAATGAAAAAAAAAAATGAATAAAAAAGGAAAAGAGTAAAACACATAATAATGTTAAAGGAAAAGAATAAAAAAAAATAAATTATTTCAAAAAGGAAAATAATAAAAACAAAAAATGTTGAAAGGAAAAGAATAAAAAAAAATGACTAAGGAAAAAAAAAAATATGTTAAAAGGAAAAGAATGAAATAAAAGATGAAAAGAATAAAGAAAAATAATAATATAGGGAAGGGGAGGGATCGACGACTTTGTTGCCGCCAATCACGATTCAAGTCCACGACGTATGAGTCGTCCATCTCAGCTTCCCGCCGTCTGTATAGTTGAGCCATATGGAGGGAATTTTGAAACTAACTGAATTTTTTTTTTTTTCTGAGTTTTATTCCATCTCACTTCCCGCATATATATATATATAGGGGAGGAGAGGGGAGGCAGCAATTGAAAGCTTGATAACAGAGGGGAGGGGAGGGGGGGAGAGGGAGCTTTGATAACGCCACCACCAATACCTCCTCCACACCACCACCACCACCACCACCTACTATACACACTACCTCCTCCAATAGCACCACCACTACCTACACCACCATTAGATACCCCGCTTAGTACCTATACCACACTACCACCGTATTGGCCCCCCACCAATACCCCTACCACCACCGCCGCCACCACCATAACTCCACCACCTATACACCAAACGCTCTACCCACACACACCCCATACCCACCACCTATACCACCACCAACGACTCCCTTACACCGATCCACACACCACACCACACAATACCCCCGCCACCACCAATTGCCTCCTCTAATACCACTACCACCACCGTATGCCGGAGGGAGGGGAGGGGGGGGAGGGAGGAGCTTGATAACAGGGGGAGGGAGGGAGGGCAGACGAGGGCGGGGAGGGGAGGGCTGGAGGGGTGGGCCGCGGAGAAGAGGGAAGGGGTGGCAGGGAGGGGGGAAGGACGTGGCGGGGGAGGGGAGAGGGAGGGAGGGTGGGCCGGCCAGCCCGGAGCGGGAAAGGGAGGGTCGGCCGCCGGGAGGGGGGAGGGAGGGCTATTCACTTGGGAAGCTATTCACAGGTTTGCCGCCTTCTCAATTTCAAGGACATTGTTAAAAAATACCCCTGATTCTTATGTCGTTTTCATTTTTGTGTGACAATTTTTGGAAATTCATAAAACAATTTGAAAGTGTTTCCTAAGAATAGAGTGATTTAGTTCATTTTTCTATATCATTTTTCATTTTCAGAGTTTTCAAAACAAAAAACATAAATGATACCCATTGCACCGAAGTTCTCTTGAAGGCATTCTACATTGCAGCCTCTTCCACCATCGTAGGATGCATTTGAACTGGCCACTAGAAATAATTATAGTTGCCGATTATTTCTTGAAATTGCTTTGCTATTTCTGATAATTGGACGATTTCTGTTTTTTATTTTTTTCAGGCACATGTATTCTCTTCCAAGTCGGGAGATTGTGCGGCTTTTCTTTCA